TGATCACACAGGTTGATATGTTGTTCCATGTATGCTTATGAGGCATATGCCAATAAAACTGTTTATAAAATAAAAAGACTGAATGACTTGTGATTATGATGCTGGTCATGTTACTAGGCCTAGAGAAGGCCAGTGCATGGGAAAGATACATCCGTCTTTAAGAAAGTGAAACCACATTTATTCAAAAGCTGCAAATGAGGAGCCCAGAGATATTTCCTCTAAACCTGAGCTTACTGCCTCTGGGGCAGGTTATAATTTACAGGATTTCCTAAGTGGGAGAAAGTTGCACATGTGCATACTAGGTTTTATATACATCTCGTACACACATACACACATGTTATTGAGATATTCTCTTGTATATGGATTAGGAAGGAGCTCTAGTAGCCACGTGGGTTAGGTGTTAGATTGCTAACTGGCAGGCCATTGGTTCAATCCCACCAGCTGTCTGAGGTTCTGCTCTCATAAAAAGTTGCAGCCTGGGAAACCCTATGTGAAGTCACTACGAGTCAGAATCCATTCCATGGCAGTGGGTTATAGGGGTTCGACGGGGACGAGTGTATGGACAGAGAACACAGGTGCTCATGTGTTCAAAAAATGGTGGCGCTAGTATGCTTGAAGGAGGAGTTTTCTTAGGGGAAATATCATTAATTCATCTATGGGACACTGCGTCGTACTGAACAGGTGCCCAAAGTTGAGTATGGCTGACGCTGGTTTCAGCTGGATCTGACCAGTGGACCCGGAATACAGTTGTAAGGAAGTTAGTCTGATTATCTTGGGTTAGGAGCAGAGAAGGGGGAGATCTCAAGACAGGTAATTTGTACGATTGGGAGGAGAATGGAGGGCCAAGCATCTAGAAAAAGAATTTTGGTGCCCCTGACTGCTCGCTGGAAGGAATGTCAGCTCCTTGCTTGTTCCCTAACCAGCCTCACTGCCATTGAGTCGACTCCCACTCCTAGCGACCCCGTGGGACAGAGCAGAACAGCCCCTGAGGGTTCTAAGACAGTGAGTTTTTTTTTTAACTCTTAGAATTTTTCCTTTACTTTATTGTAGTAAATATATATGTAACAGATAATTTGGTGTATCAACCTTCTTTACATGCACAATTCAAAGGACATTAGTTCTTAATCAACCATTGTTCAACCATTACCATCATATATTTCAAATTTTCTCCATCTCTTTTACCAGAAGCTCCTTGTCTAATAAGCAATAGTCTTCCATTTCCTCACCTTACCTCCTCACCCTGGTAGTCATTATGGGACTAGAAAGCTCCGTCTGTCTCCCACGGAGGGCTGGTGCCTTCCAATGGCTGACCTTGCCATTAGGACCCCAACACATAACCCACTCTGCTGCCAGAGCTGGAAAGAATTCCAGCGGGCTGTTTTGACCCCTGTATGGTAAAGATACTGTCATTGCTCATCAGAGAAGATGTCTTGAACATTAACTCATAATTTGGAAATGACTCCCACAGGCACAGGAAGGAAAGCCCAGCAAGAGGTTTGAAAGAATACGACTTTCCCCCTGATTTTCCATCTGGTCAGTGTCTGGAATGAACCCACCCTTTGGCCCTCAGTCCTGAGGACCTTGTGCATCACTGAATGTGCTGCTGCTTGCTCACTGCGTATGTTGCTCCTTCCTTGCCTAATTTTGGGCATGTTAAAGGCTTGGCTGGGCTATAGCAGCTAGCTCCTTGAGGTCAGCTGCCTTTATGCAGGTATGAAGATGGTAATATTTGGAAATGATGGCATGTATTTGTATTATTTTTTAATGGTTTACCCTGAAAGCCAGCCTTCAGGACTACTATTAGTCCAAGTGTGTTTTTAAAAGTGGAAGCATGTTTGACATTGATGCCAGGAACACTTGAGGGGCAGAGCCACATTGGTATCCCAAATCCCCTCGTTTAGGCACTGATCTTGATGTCTACACGGTGCAAAGGTACACTGCTGATCTAAATGGAAGCTGTGTTAGACAGGGTTCTCCAGAGAGATAAAACCAGATTGCTGATATTTTATATATTTATTTATAAAGAGAGTTAGAAATATAACACAAGAAATGAACTGTTAAATTATATACAGATAGATATACAATACAAGAAATGAACAGTTAAATTATAAAGCAGTACAAATGGCTCAGTGCAACTCATTCCCATGAGAGAGAGAGTTGTGAGACACTAGCTGTCCTTCAAGACTAGTCTACTGCCAGGTCTTCCTCTATATATAGAGTGAGCTAGGCTATCTCAGCACAGCAGCCAATCACAAGGCAGGTCACCTACTGTCAGCCAGGTCATCAACTGCCAGTCCCCAGCTCCAGAGATGTCTTAAAGGGACCTCAACTTACAGCGACACAGTTCACAGGCTAGGCATCCCACAGGTAGTATAGCCTATAAATTGAGGCATAGAACAAGCAAGGCAGCCGCACACCGGTCTGATGATCAAAGAGTGAGAAACAAGAAAAGCGAGGCTCACCGAGCCATTTATCTCTCTGCCCTTCAGTTAATCCCACTTGTGTTTATCG